CAGTGGTCGGTCGTGACCACGAAGTCAACACCTTCGAGATAACATCTCCATGTTCGTAGCGCATGCACAACCGCCAACAATTCCTGTTCGGAAGTTGTATAGCGCTGCTCAGCCGGGGAAAGCTTTCTACTCTCAAATGCCACGGGGCGTCCCTCTTGTAAAAGAACTGCTCCAATCCCTACTGTCGAGGCATCAGTTACTACCTCGTAAGGCTTAGACGGGTCTGGCAACGCCAGCACTGGAGCATTGGTCAGCATGGTTTTCACCTCCTCAAATGCCTTCTGGCACTGATCGGTCCACTGCCAAGCATTACCCTTGCGAGTGAGGGCAGTCAGTGGAGCGACTACGGAGGCATGAGTAATTCTCCAAGAAACGGCGAAAATAATTTGCAAGTCCAAGAAATGATCTGACCTGTCCCACGTCCTGTGGAACGGGCCACTGTTGGACCACCGCCACTTTCTTTGGATCAACTTTTAGGCCATCGTTGCCTACCAAGTGACCAAGATATTCCAGCTCGCGTTTGTAGAAGTGACACTTCCACAACCGAGCGTAGAATTTGTGCTCTCGCAATTTTCCTAACACCCATTTCAGGTGTTGCGTGTGTTCTTCTTCAGTCTTTGAGTAAACGAGGATATCATCCAAGTATACCAAGACGAATTGGCCGATTGCCTCCCGAAACACATCATTCATTGCTCGCTGAAATGACGCGGGAGCATTTGTCAAGCCAAAACTTAACACACGCCACTGAAAATGGCCGAACGGCGTTCGAAAAGCCGTTTTTGGAACATCTTCCTCGGTGATGCGCAGTTGATGATACCCTTGAGCTAAGTCCAACGCACTGAACCACTGAGCTCCTTGGAGCCGATCGAACAAATCCTCTATTCGTGGTAGAGGGTATCGGTTCTTAACCGTGATCTTGTTCAAGGCACGATAATCTACGCACATGCGTAATCCTCCGCCCTTCTTGTTAACGAACAAAATCGGTGCTCCGTAAGGGGATGCACTGGGTTCAATCCATCCTTTTCTGAGGTATTCCTCAATCTGTTGTTTAGCCTCCTCGTACTCAGCTGGACTGAGGCGATACAGAGGTCGAAAGGGTGGAACCTTTCCTGGTTCAACAGGGATGGTGTGGCCCACTACGCGATCAGGTGGAAGTCCATCAGGGATGGCCTCAAACACTTCCTTGAATTCCTCTGCCAGTATTTTCATTTGAGGAGGGAAATCCTCAATTGCTGGCTCCGAGGCCTCGGCATTCTCAAGCTGTACCACGAATAGTGTATCAGCTGATTTAACAAAATGCCCGAACTGGTTGGCCAACACACACAGCGCGCTTGGATGTTCCGGCCTCTGTGTGCTAGTGGGCGAAGTATCATTGACTTGCCACTGGATTGCCTTTCCGTTCTTGTTGAACGAGACAATGTTGTACTGGAAGTCCAGAATGACTTCGTTGGCTCGCAACCAATCCATGCCCAGGATGAGGTCGACACCTGACAAAAGTGGCAGGACATACACGCGAATTGTTTCGCTGTAATCCTGTACATTCATGTCGATATGTGTCTGTCCTTTACTTGGAATGACACGATCGTCACCCAAGCGAATGGGACAAGACGGTCGTGCAACGAGGACGTTGTGCGTCGTAACCCAAGTTTCATCAACAAGGGAAACCGATGCGCCCGTATCGACGAGAATCCTTGCTTCGTCCCCATTCATGCGTCCAGACCCTAAACCCTAAACCCTAAACCCTAAACCCTAAACCCTAAACCCTAAACCCTAAACCCTAAACCCTAAGTTCTGTTGGAATTTTGGACGAATGGGACAAGAGGTCGAAACCCTAAACCCTAAACCCTAAACCCTTAGTTTTGTTGGAATTTTGGACGAATGGGACAAGCGACAACTAGTTTAGGGGGTCGATAGTACGCCCTAAATTTGTTGTGAGCACGTCCAAACCTTTGGGAGCTGGTCCACCACACGTGACGGCCTTTGTCCCATGTTGCCAGGATATGCCATTCGTGAAATCGGCGGAACAATTCTCCTTTCACAGTTCGAGTCACCAATCCCACTGACGTGAGCGGGTGCTCTTGGACACAACGGTCCACAATATCCATGATTGCTGGCAACTCGTTGAACGAGCAAGAGATGATTGAAAATTTATCTCTCAAAGATTCTATTGAAATGTTTTCAAGTGAGTATGATCGAGTTTTAAAAACAGATTTTTCATTAATAGAAGAGGCATACAAACAAGCGATTTTGCATGACGCAAGCTTTTCTAGCTTTAGCAAATCCTCATCACGAAGGACATAAGCCTCATCTACTCGATCTCGCTCACCAACTAGGTACCCACCCCTAGTTGGACTTCGGAAAATCCTTCGAACCCGAAGGGCCCGAACCATCCGGCTTCTTGCCCTGGTTGGGCTTGCCGGAGTTCTTGACGGACTTCCTCCAGCGGCAGTGGTAGGCCTTGTGGCCGGGCTTGCCACAGATGTGGCAGCCTGCCGGAGGCTTATCAGCATCCTGAGGATCCTTGGGAGGCCCAGCATGGGCCCTCTTGGACTGAGTCCCAGAGAATTCTCCCCTCTGCTGATAGGGCCTCTTCCAAGAGCCACCGCCCCTTGGTGCATGGGTCCTGCTACCACCCCCCCTAGGGCCTTCGGCGCTAGGCTGCTGTTGAGCACGGGTACTCTTGAGGTCCAGGTACGCACAGAAGTGGACATCCGTGCTGATGACCTGCTCCTTACACTCCTTGTAGGTCTTCCACTAGTGCTCCCCCTTCACCACATGCACACGCTTGATGTGCTCGGGGAGACCCTTGAAGAACTGGTGGATGACCTCGCTCTCAGGAAGAGCAGTCTTCAGCAGCGACAGAGTTTTTTCAAACTCCTTGGCGTACTCGCGTACAGGCTGGTCACCGCACTGGATGTTCTCCAGGCGGCTACGCACCTCGAGCGCCGGGGGCTGCACCAGGAATGCCGTCAGCATGGCCGCTTTGAACTCCTCCCAGCCAAAAGGATGGCCATTCGCCTCTGCGTGGCGCTTGTTGGCATACACCAACTTGCTCGCAGTGTCGTCCAGGGCAAGGGTCGCAGCGACCACGCGAGCCTCGCTACGCACATTGTGGATGGACATAAAGTCCTCCGCAATGGAGAGCCAAGTCTCAACGTCAGTTTTGCCATGGACAATACGAGGCAGGGCCGAAGGGCAGGAGCCAAAGGCATTTGCAGCTGCAGTAGGAGGCTCAGCACGGGCTCCAGTAGGAGGAGGAACCGCAGGAGATGCAGCAGCAGGTGCGGCATTGCTGTTGGCGGCATTGGCGACTCGCTCTGCTGCAGGAGCAGGCTGATAGAGGTTGCCACGCCGGATCTCCCTGTAGATCTCCCTGTACTGAGTCTAAAGCACAGAGATGCTTTTCTCCTGCTTCTTGAGCTGATCCTGCACGAACTGGAGAGTGTTCTGCATGTCCTGAATGAAGCTGGAGGTGTCATTTTCCTTAGGAATTGACTGCACCTCCCTGGTCAGCTGCTCAATCAAGGTCTGAAGCTTCACAGAATCAGCCTCCAAGTTCTGGATGCGGCACTGCTGCTCCCCAATGAGGATATTCCGCTCTGTGATTTGAGTCTGGAGCTTAACAGCGATGTCCTCAGTCTCATTGGAAACACCCTCGTCAGAGCCAGCCCCATCCTCATTTTCAGCATCAGCATCAAGGTCAGCTTCACTTCCATTTATCTCCATGTCCACAAAGTCCTCAAGGTTGAGATCAATGTCAGCAGCAGCAGCAGCAGCATAATCTCCCTCATTGCCAGCAATGGGAACCTCCTTAGTAGCATCCATCTCTTGACCAGAAGCCATGAAATAGGTTAAGGAGAGGAGATCTCAACAGATCCTTTAATAATCTTTAAGAAATCTGATTACTCTTATAGAATAATCCAATACAGAATCTCTTAAGATTGACTTGTTTGCTAAATCTCCGTATCACCTCAATGATAGGGCAAGATATACTCAAAAGAGTAATCCTCAACAAGTCCTTGTAGATCTGAAGATACTCTTCCACCAAAGGTGGTTTAGAGTCTTCCACCAAAAGGTGGGTAAGAGAAATAAATTTCTCTTCAAAATTTCTTCTCAATGTTGATGAAGAAGAAGAGACTTCTTGCAGATCTTGTAGCTCCAATTGTGTGTTGAAGAGAATGAAGCTTGGAGCATGTAGATCTTGTAGGAGTTGATGTAGATCTTGAAGAAAAAGTTGTAGATCTTGAAATTTCTTCAAAATCTTCAATGCTCCTTGGATCAAATCCTAGATCCACAAGCTAGGATCCTCTAAAAAAAAAATAATCCAAGCAGCAAATGGCCACACAAGGCCAAGGAAGAACCTTGCTCTAGATACCAATGTAACACCCAAGGCTATTATAGTAGGAATTACAAGGCTTTAATAATAATCCCAGTACAAGATGGTAGCTCTAGCCAACCCCTCCAAATAGCCTTGAAGGTGTGAGTCTTGTTGAAGCCTTTGATGGAAAGCACTTGGAGAAGTTGTGTAGGGAGTTGTGTGAGAGAGCTCTCAATGACTTAGGCAAAACAATCCCATTTCCAATTGATTAGTTGGAGTGGGAGGTTGAGAATGAGCTTCGAAGCTCAAACCCCCTCAATACACCCCTTTGGGAACTCTCCCAACCATGGCTTCCATGGTGGGAGGGTTCCTAGGCTTGGAGCCTATGTGGCAATTGTGTTGGGTTGGAAAACCCAACTTAGAACCATTCAATGGTTGTGTTTAGGATAGAGTAGATTGTAACAAATGTTTGGCAGTTTCTGATTGGTTGTTAATCCAACCTTCAATCTCAACTTTGATGGGTTGGAATTTCCCAATCCTATTGGTTGAGGTTTGGAATTTCCAAACCAACCTTCTTCTCCAACCCAACCATCAACTTCCCCAAAGCACAATTTCTATCGAGATATTTCTCGATGAGTGCTGTAGGGGTGTTAGGCTGTTAGGCGAGAATCAGGTCGATGCGTTACACCAGAGGTGGGGAGGTAGAGGGAAGATATCCAGGCAGGCAAGCAGGGTCAAAAGCAGGAATAAACTGGATGTTTTTCAGCACCAGGGAGGCCAGGCAAGGGCAGATCACTTCCACTGGCGTTGCCTTTTCATATCCTTGACACGCCTTAGCTACTGCTGAACTGTTGCATGACTCTCCTAATCTTCCCTCCGCTTGCACTCCCTCCTCTTGCACCGCTGCCGCCTCAACCGCTGCTGCTGGCGGCCCTTCTGCTGGGTCCCCAAGATTCTCCCGCATGAGCAGCGTCTTAGCGGTCTCATGCATGGCCGAGAGACGTACGCGCAGCTGCTCTGAACGAGTATTCAGCTCCGCAAGCAGCTCCTCACGTGGCGATATGGGCACACTGTCAACTGCCTCAGACTCCTCCACACCGTTTTGAACCGCATTTGGAGTTGCCAGAGCACAATACTGCTCGTAAGTGAACAGCGCTGCGTCTCCTACTTCCCCATCATCCTCCTCTTCGTCCTCCTCTCCGGTGAAAAGCCCCGAGGCGCCGGCAGCAACAGCAGCTAGCCGTGCCATAGCTCGTGCCTTCTCTGCCTCTGCGCGCGCGTCGCACGTCCCATCAGACACGGCCTTGCAGGCCGCAATGGCTTTCGTGACCGCAAATAAGGCGTATGTCAAGCTTACAGCCTCATACTCATGTGCCCGCTCCGCTTCAGACTGAGCATAGCGCGCGGACCCCGCAGCCAGTGCGCGCAGCGCGCGCACGTCCTTCCATGATGAGGCGGCGTCCGCGTGGGTCGCTGCTGCTGCTGCGCAGATATCGACGAAGCTTCTCCGCCTCCTGCCGCCGCTCCCCTCCGCTGCTGCACTTGCACCCGCATCCGCACCGTAAGGCGATTCCGCACCGCCTTCCGCCTCGTCCACCCGGACGAGCATGGCGAGCAGCCCTTCCAGCGACCCCTCTGCTCGTTCGAGCGTGAGCGACTCAAGGCTGCTGCACCCCGCAAGCATACCCGAGCGGAACGACAGCAGACCCGCAAGCGTGAGCGTCTGAAGCTTACGGGACGACAGACGAAGCACGGCTGAGAGGGGTTTTGAACTGAAGAGATGGTAGGTGGTGCCGGAGAGAGAGTGGGAGGAGAGAGAGAGCGTGGAGAGGGAAGGGTTGGCTCGAACAATTTCCAGCACAGCACGGCAACACACCCAGGGGCAATCGTCGATGGCGAGGTGAGTGAGGGAGTGGAGAGAGCGCGCGAGGGAGTGGAGCTCGCATGAGTCGATCATGCAGGAGTGGAGGGAGAGCGAGGAGAGAGAGGTGAAGGAGGCGACGCTAAAGAGGGAATCGTTTAGATTGGCAGATTGGATGGTGAGGGATTGGAGAGACGAACGGAAGGAGGAGGAGGAGGAGGAGGAGGAGGAGGAGGAGGAGGAGGAGGAGGAGGAGGAGGAGGAGGAGGAGGAGGAGGAGGAGGAGGCGAGCCTGGCAAGGAAGCTGCCTGTAGGCTGCCAGAGGGAGAGAGAGGTGAGCGCGGAGCAGCGGAGGAGGGGGGAGAATTCCTTTGGGCGGAAGCCGAGGGTGACGGAGCGGAGGGAAGGGAAGGCGTGGAGGGGCGGCAAGGGGGGGCTATCATCGTAGCGGTAGTTAAGTACGTCGCGTAGACTGAGCTCCAGATGAGTCAGCTGGCTGCGAGAAGGCGGTCCGGTGGGCGCATGGGGAGAGACGAACGCAGGGCGAGGGGGAGAGGGGGGATGGGGGGAGTGGCTATCAAGTTTTATCAATGTTGTCCGACTAGGATTCGAACCTGAGTCTTTTGGACCAAAACCAGACTTGTTGCTAGGAGGGAGAGAGAGAGTTGATGAGAGGAGGTAAAGAAGAGCGATGGTGGCGGGAAGAGGTTTGAAAAAGGTGCATAAACGAGGAGGGCAAATGAGCGGGACGAAAGAGGTAGAACGGTCGCAGTCTTGGGAGGACACCATAATACCGATACTCCATGTTTCGATCCTCGTTTTATTCCTTTGGACCTCCATTTCGCACAAATATTGCTTATGAATATCTCCTAAAGAGAAAACAACGGAGGCAGGGGATTGGGGCGTTGATGTATGAAAACCGTTTGCACATTCCCACGGCTGGCCACTCACGGGCATTGCCGAGCAAGCGACTTCCAACCACTATCAGTGGCTTCGAACCTTCCCCAATCCACCGCAAACAGTCGTAACTCTTTCAGCTGCCCGCACGTTGCGCCAATATCCGCGAGCAGGGAGTCCTGCAGAGTCGTCGCGACGCGCACTTTCAGACTGGTAACGCGGGGAAATGCCCTCGATTGCACGTCGAGCTCGCCCGACCAATCCTCAACGTTGGAGTGCCGGTGGTGATGAGGCTTGAAGTGGACGAGGAGCGAGTGCGGCGTGCGGCGCGAGATGCGGCGGAGGTGCGAGCAGACGAGCGCGACGTTGCAGCGGTCGGTTGGGTGGGTGACGGTGCTGAGGATGCACTCGAGAAGCTCGTCCGGGAGAGCCAGCAAACGGGAACGGTCACCGCGCTTCATGGTCACGACGAGCCGCGAGCTGAGATTTTTGTAGCTGTGAAATAAACGGAAATCTGACTGTGCCGTGATGGTAATCGGAGCTTCAGTCAGGCGAAGAAGATGAAACACGGAATTCTATGCACGCGTAGTAGCGCGAACGGCTGTGAACTAGGCGGGAGTTGTAAGCTCTGAGATAGAGCCAAAGCCACACGCAACCAGTCGAAACCTTTACGTTAGACGCTTGCGTGCATCCTAGAGATAGGCTAGTGACGAGAGGAGTCTGGAGCAGAACCATAGCCTTGCAGGAAACGAACTCGTAACAAGCAGCTTTCGGCATGCAGTGCAGGTGCTGGTGTATGACTCTCGCGGCGCGCATTTGAAATATCGTGTTTTGGCCTCGGATTGACGAAATCTGGGCCCAGTTCGGCAGGCATTAAAAAAACGGTTTTCCCGTACGGGCTATAGTAAACCGACCACCCTGGAACCTTCTTTGATAAGCGCGTGAAAGGTTATCTAGGCTCGATATAAGCGGATCATCGCCGAACCAGACAATAATGGAATGCCAGCCGAACACCCCTTTTAACGCTGGCGATTTCCATCAGAGGAACCATCCTCGAACCCTGTTTCTCAGGCAAACGTCCCATTTTTCCATCCGCCGCACCAAACGGCCTCGAGGTCCCGCACCATGCGGGGGATCATTGATTCGGGGCAATCAGACTTTGCTCTGAAAAAAACAAATCTCGGTCTTTCTCACCCCTCTTCGTGCCCGCTGGAAAATCGCACATCACCAACACACCATCACTAACAAATCGAACGCACAGATTCTCTTGCCCGATTTTTTTCGACATCCACCGCTGATTTGCAGGGCTGCCCGGGCTGCCTGTACAGTGTTTCTGCACTCCGGAAGCGCATCTCATGCGGGCTTCTGCGAAGGGCCTTTCATGGCTGAGGGCCATTTTTCCACACCCATACAATGCCTACCGAACGCACTACCCATTTTTCCGAAGTTGCACTGGGGCTACCGGCTGCCTTCGCCGCTGTTTCGAGGGGCCATTTTTTGTGGGCCCATTAAGGCCCAGTTTGGCAGGCATTATGGCCATTATGGCCATAATGGGCATTTTTAACGGGCCCCCAAAAAATGTCGCCTGGGCATTTCACGAAACAGCTTCGAAGTCGAATCGTAGCTGCAGAGCACATTCGGAAAAAAAGGGGTTGAGTGTTTGGTTGGCATTATTTGGGAGTAGATTGATGGCATCAATCGACATTTAGGGTTTCGCAGAAGATGGGAGGCAGTTGCTATGATCGATCGCGTGATCATGTGATTGGCTGGCATATTTGACCAGTCACTTTTAATTGCCCCGAATCACTGATACCCCGCATGGTGCGGGGCCTCGAGGCCGCATGGTGCGGGGGATCGGAAAATGGGCACTTTGCCAGAGAAAATGGGTTGGGTGTAGATTCCGGCGGTTTGAAAACGCCTCCAAAAAAAGGGGTGTTTGGTTGGCATTCCATTATTGTTAGGTTCGGCGTAGTCCGCTTATATCGAGCCTTGATAGCCTTTCACGCGCTTATCAGAGAAGGTTCCAGGTTGGTCGGTACACTGTAGCCCATCCCCCTCGCCCCCTTTTTGATGCCTGCCAAACCCAGCCTAAAATCGCCGATAATGGCGATAATGGCGATAATGGCAAGAATGCCTGCCGAACCGGGCCCTGTGGCGGGTGTTTCCTGTCAGACAGTTCCATTCCATTCCACGTTAGACACGCATTTGTGGTCGCGCGCGCGAAACCGCGTTTGAAGTCGCATGGGCCGCCACGGTACAGTACTCCCCGCCAAGTACTGTTCGCTGACACCTGTCATTCTCTTGTCTTTCAAATGGTGGTTGATGGCTGGTTCATGGCAGAGGGTTGAGGAGGATGATGCTTAGCACAGCAGATGCAAGGGTGGAATAGAGTGTTCGTATACCAGCATAGTGGATTAGATTTCTCCCTTTAGTAAGAAGGAAACGGCTTCATATCCAGTATTCTAATTTCTAATCGCATGTGGCGTGCAAATGAAAAGACTGCCGGATAAGCAATTGCATACAAAACGGAAAAGAAAACGAACAGCCAGTATAAATGGAAGGTGGGCCCAGCCTACAGCTTGCAGAATGGTAGTGAGCGATGTCTGTCGGCCTGTATTTGAGTCAACTCTAAAGAAGCCTGTACAGATGTTAATAGCAAAGCAACCAGGCCGGCTAATACTGTAATCCCTCTCGATGATGCAATCAACTGCACGGGTCTCATTGCGGCGGGAGGAGGAAGGCGAGGACGGCACGGTTGAATTCCTTGGGGCGGTGTGCGTTGAGCGCGTGGCCTGCCTTGTCCACCACCACCAGCTTGCACTTGTCTCCAAAGTGCCTGCACAGCACAGCACACACAAAGGGGCATTGCAGAGCAAGGGGAGGCGGAGAACAACAGGATTAAACTACGGGTTGTGCGTTGAGGGCGTGACCGGCCTTGTCCACCACCACCAGCTTGCAGTTCTCTCCAAAGTGCCTGCACAGCACAGCACACAGACAGGGCATTGGAGAGCAAGGGGAAGGGATAAACAGCAGGATTAAAATACAGAGTGTGCGTTGAGTGGGTGACTAGTCTTGTCCACCACCACTAGCTTGCACTTCTCGCCAAAGTGCCTGTCCAGCACAGCATAGGGCAAGGGGAGGGGGAGAACAGCAGGATTGAAGTACGGGTTAAGCTGAGTGCATGACCAGCTTTGTCCACCACCAACAGCTTGCACTTGTCGCCAAAGTGCCTGCTGCCCCCCGTGCACACAGTGCATGGGAGCGCACCAGCGTGGTGGGCTGGGGAGGGAGAGGGCACGTGCAGGGCAAGGGTGTGAGAAATACGAGGGAATGGAAAGGATAGCGTGAGGAGCAGAAGGGAATGGGGAGGGCAGTGTGAGGAGCAGGAGGGAATGGGGAGGGCAGTGTGAGGAGCAGGAGGGCATGGGCAGGGCAAGGTCATAGTATTCAGGAGGCGGGGGAAATGGGGTTTGAGGAGCGAAGAGGATTTGCTGTGGTCTTGTGACCCCTCTCCACCCCCCCCTGTCTTGGCCTTGTTGCTGCCGAAGTGCCCATAGAGGAGGCATCAATGTGAAGGATAGAAAATGGAGCAGGAGAGGTAGGTCACACAGAGGAGGTGGGTCACACAGAGGAGGTGGGTCACACAGAGGAGGTGGGTCACACACACCAGGAGGACTCATTTGTGCACTAGAACCATCGGAACCACCACACGGTGCAAGATTCATGCATGTGCGCTCTTTCACCTGTGCATTCTGTGTGCGATGGAGCTGGGAAAGATTCCGTCCTCATCGCCCCACACTAGGAGCGACTCCTGTCAGCACCAGCACAGAAACAAGCAGCGATGGACGGTGAAGGCCAAGAGACAAGAGAGTGTGCATAGAAGGTAGGATGGTGCTAGCAGAGGCGTTAGGAGGTGTCTGGGTTGTAGAGAGGGGTCTCAATCATGGGGCTTTGTCCGTGCAATGAGGAGCCTGAGTTGTAGAGAGGGTGACGGGGCATTCGCGGAAGACGCTAGTAAGGAGGACGGATGACAGGGCAAAACACGCAAGCAAGCAAGCAAACATGCGTGCGTGGATGGCGCTGCACAGATTGGGCACTTTGACGTGCATAAGGCTCGAGCGTCTCATGCCATGCCTGATGCTCGTTGCATGGGCTATCGACCCCATTGACCCCATTGACCCCATTGACCCTCCTCATCCCACTGATCCCACTGATCCCACTGACTCCATTGCCCGCATTGCCCGCACTGACCATGGGGGGCGTGGGGAAGGGGTCGGGCGGGTTGTCTAGCTGCTGCAGCAGAGAGTCCAGCATCTGGTGCTTCACCTCCTTGTTCTCCAGGAGTATCTGTTGCACGGTGGGGGGGGGGGTAAGGGCGGGATGATGCACACGTGAAGGGCAGGGCGGCAGGCACAAGAGAGGGCACACAAAGGCATTTGGAGCACACAGAGGCCAGCATCTGGTGCTTCACCTACTTGTTCTCCAGTAGTATCTGTTGCGCGTGGGGGGTGGGTTGGGTTGAGGCCAGCATAGCATGCAATAGAATTGGAGCGGGATTGGAATGAGATTGGAATGGGATCGGAATGGGATCGGAATGGGATCGGAATGGGATCGGAATAGGATTGGAATGGGATAGGAATGGGATCGGAATGGGATCAGAATGGGATAGGAATGGGATCGGAATGGGATCGGAATGGGATTGGAATGGGATTGGAACGGAAAAGGAATGGGATTGAAACGTTGTTGTAGTGGGAAGGAATGGAATGGAATGGAATGGCATGGAATGGCACACATATGCGAGAGCACAGATGAGACTCTGGCAGCAAAGCACACAGCGGTGGAAGGACAGCAGAAGAAGCTCGCAATCATGATCACGAATCGCGCATAACGTGCAGCATTCAGTATGGAGCGTGCAGCATTCAGTATGGAGCGTGCAGCATTCAGTATGGAGCGTGCAGCATCCAACGTGCAATTTAAACACCACACAACCAAGCCATTGCTCACTCACAGTACACATGCTCTCTCCCTCTCTCAGGTGACTTTGAGTCGACTCCCTCTCTTTTGAGTCGACTCAAAAGTCACCTCGCAGTTTAAACACCACACAACCAAGCTATTACTCACTCACAGTACACAACTCTCTCCCTCTCTCACCCAACCTTCCCTCCCCACTCCTATACCTCACTCTCTCCCCACCTACTCCCCCCTCCCGCCTCATTCTCTCCCCCAACCTCCCCTCCTCCACCCCCCCCCCCCCACGTGCGCACGTGTGAGAGCACCTTGAGCAGCCAGTGCGGCAGCTTGGGCGGGTGGTAGTGCGCGAGGGACAGCAGGCGCTGCACTGCAAAGCAAAGGGGGTGAACTAGACCACGGCTCACCACACACATGCTCTCCCCATCCCTTCACCCACCCCTCTTCCCATCCCGTCCCCCTCTCACCCCCTCCCCGTTTATCCCCCAGTCACGTGTCGTCCCCTCTCCCCCTTTATCCTCCCCCGCTCCCCACTCCCCTCCCTTCCTCTCCCCCCACTCCTGCATACATGTGAGAGCGCCTTGAGCAGCCAGTGCGGCAGCTTGGGCGGGTGGTAGTGCGCGAGGGACAGCAGGCGCTGCACTGCCGGTGGGTCGCTGGGGAGAAACACCTCCGATGGATGCTCCACCTGGGCGGGGAAGGAGGGAGGGAGGAAGAGGCGGGGGAGGAGGGCGGGGTGGGGAAGGGACGGGGATGATGGCGCTGCACTGCTGGTGGGTCGCTGGGGAGAAACACCTCCGATGGATGTGCCACCTGAGGGAGAGTAAGGGGGAGAGAGGCAGCGAGTTGAGAGGGAGAGGATTGAGACAGTTCTTGAGATGTCTCATGGAACAAAGACGACCGGCAAACAGCACACCCACACCGCGCACCCCACCAACCCTCAACTGCGCCCCCTCCCCTCTCCTACCCCCAACCTGCCACCGCTCCTCTCTTCCCCTCTCATCGTAGTTGTCCCGCCTCCCGTGTGGCCATAACTCCCGACCCCACTGGCACTACCCTGAACCCACCAACGACGACCGGCAGACAGCAGGCGGTGCACCCACAGCACATCTCCTCCAACCCTCCCCTGCTCCCAGTGCCCCCCCACCCCCACCTGCCATCGCTTGAGCATGTCATCATAGTCGTCCCGTGTGGCCATCACCCCCGACCCCACCAGCACCAGCCGTGACACGCGCTCCGGGTGTAGTGCCGCCATTCTTTAAGTGGGATAGGAGGGGCGTGAGAGAGCGAAGAGGAGAGTGAGGGATGGAGAAGGGAGGTGAGGGAGGAGAGAATAAGTCAAGCCACCCAACCAGCGCCAGCCGTGACACGCACTCTGGATGCTGTGTGGCCATTCTTTGGGGTCGGGGGGGGCGGGGCGCAGGGGGGGGGTTGAGGTAGAGGAGAGGGGTGCGGCAGAGGAGAGGGGTGAGGAAAAGGAGGGAGGTGAGGGAGGAGGAAGGTAAGCGAGAGGAGGGAATTTCGCCAAGGTAACCGACCCGACCCTATGAGTTTGGGATGGAGAGCACCAAAGGCAACGGGGAAACAGTCACCAGGAAAACGATTCCCTGGTGCAGGCACCACCAACCCCACTACAGCACCACCACGCCACACCACACCACACCGCACCCTACCTGTACGCCACGATCCCCCCATAACTCAACCCGCACCCTACCTCTCCGCCTGGAACACGTTGGACGCTCACTCCCATCCCACCAGAGACGAATTATCACGCACCACCACACAGCACCGCACCGCACCGCACCGCACCGCGCCATGCACCACCACCACCACATGCCACCCTACCTGTACGCCACGATGCCTCCATAACTCAACCCGACGACATGGCACGCCGCAACTCCCAGTCGGTCCATCAGCTTCACCATGCTCTCCGCCTGGAACTCGTCGGACGCTCACTCCCACCAGAGACGAACTATCACCCTACCTGTACGCCACGATCCCGCCGTAACTCAGCCCAACGACATGGCAAGCGGCGACGCCCAGTCGGTCCATCAGCTTCACCATGCTCTCCGCCTGGAACTCATTAGCCTCTGCCTCTAGCCTCTGCCTCTGCCCTCTAGCTATATATAGGGCCCTTGGGGTCATTTCTCTGCCATTAGTTCGTTTGGTGCCAGTTTTTCTTGGGCGCTCGCGCCGGCGGCCTGCGGCCGCCAGCGCTCGCGTGCGCGGCCTTCGGCCGCGTGCTCTCGGGTGGCAAGCAACAACTCTGGAAAAGAAACAAACAACACACAGCGCTCAACACAAGGGAAGACGGCATGCAGTTCTACGCTAGGCGAAAGCCTACATCGTGTACGGCTCGGCCCCCGCCACTTCAAGCATCGAGCGCATGCACGCCGATACCGCAAGAAGGAGATGCGCCGTTGACTGGAGCGTGTCCAAGGGAGTCCCGCCTTGAGCAGCCCCCACAAGATCCCCCACGTGGCGGGGGAAAGTACGGGCTAAGGGAGCTACCCCGGCGGGCGCATCCGACACGGGTGCCAACGGCGACTCGAGCGATTCTGCCAAAGTCACGCAGGATCCTCGGGTTCCTGGACCGAAACTGCTCGGAAAATTCCGCGTGGCCGCACACACCGCCAGCTGCAAGTTCGCCAACACCTCACACGCCTCCGCCAGATTCAGAATCCGGCACAGGGTCAGCATGGGATCTGTGCCCGCGCGAATGGGGGGAAGTGCAGTCTGTGCTTCACGCGGAAACACCGTCGGCCAGCCAGGAGTCCGGCCAACGGATAATCGCGGCGCGGAGAAGCCAGGGAGCTGACGAGGGGTGCGGAACTGAGCCCTCTGCTCACGCGCTGGCAGATAATCACGCAGGGTCGGCGCACGCAGGGGAGCAACCTGGCCAGGGTCCGCTGCGATGGGGGGACCGTTGGTCACCTCAATGTGGACGTGAGTCGGCCCCCCGCTTGCCTGGGCCTGCCGCACCACCTCCACAAACGTGTTCGCGGCGCGATCGAGGGCAGGATCCTGCTGGCGACCACTACCGCCACGCCCTCCGCCATTGCGCCGGCCCCGCCGGCCCGCGGAACCTGCCGAGCGCGGACGCGGGGGGGTCTGCTCGCGGCGACCCGATTCCCAGCGACGCCCAGGCGACCCCCTCCCCCGCGTCGCCGGAGGTCCCCGCGGAGAACGTGGCTCGGGGGATCGCGCTCGGGGTGAGCGCTGGCCTGCCCGACCACGAGGAGATGGGCGGCGAGGAGAGCGATGGCCGGCAGGGGACAGCTGATCGTCAACGCCGTCCCGCTGATCTTCGCAACGCTCTGGGGACCGGCGGCGAGGAGATTGCTGCCGCGGCTGCTGCCGGGGCGGCGAACGCCCGCGCTCCTGACGCGGCTGAGCAGCAGACCGGTTTGAGGCAATCTGAGCGGGGACCCACGAGTACTCCGGCGTATGAGGCTGCCGAACATGTCGCAGAGGAAGAGACAGCCCGCGCTCCAGGCAGGGGACAGGCTCAGACGCGGAGGGGCGCGCTGCAGCAAGAGGACGAGGAGCAGCAGGCCCCTGCGCACGGGGCGGATCGAGCCGTGCGCTCTCTGCAGTACTCTCCTGCGCGCAGTCGCGACCCGCGGTTGGGTTCATTACGCCGGAGCACGGAGCCACGGACGCCAGCAGGCCGCCAAAGACGAGGCCGTGGTTCTACCTCCGCGCCTCAGCCAGCACGCCGCGACGCAGAGGCAGGCACGACGCCGCGAGGTATCCGCGTGGCTAGAGGTGGGAGACGAGGCGGACGCAGAGGAGGCGTCTCAGTTCAACGACGGGGGGCTAGTAGCTTCGCGAGGGCCGCTCACCGGATCCTGCGGGAGAGAGCTGGAGATGGAGAAGAATCGAGTGATGAAAATTCTGTGGGTGACCCACTTTTTAACCCTGAAAGAGAGGGGAGTTCTAGTCCCTCTCCTCAGGTGGAAGAGGCAGAGCAGCACGAGGAGTTGGCTCAAAACCCAACACATAGCCGAGGTGCATCTGCAGTTCGAATTGGGAGACAGATTCGAGTCGGGGGGGGGAACCGAGCCGCACAAATTGCAGATGGCACCCCTTCCCGAACCAATCAGCAGGGCGCAGACTTACCCACCCGCCAGCCAATGTTCAGTGCTGGCGACCTGGCAAAACGCCAGGACCTTTTCGCCGACGTCGCAACATGGGACCTCAACCCCCTTCGCGACAGGAGGCAACCTCCACTTGCCCGTCACCCACCTCGCATACTTCGCGACTCTTTCGCTGCCTGCCTCCTCACCCCACTGTTACACCTCGCCAACGACCCTGACTCACCTGCGGGGTGGAGGCTGTTAATGTTCCTCCCGCGCATCCTATTGCGCACTTCGTCAGCCAAACGCCCAGATTGGTCGAAGGTTGGCGCCAGGTTAATTCAGTTCCGCCAGGGCCTCTGGCGGAACCTGTATGACGAGGCGGCTGACGCAGTATCCCAACCCCCACAGCCCCGCCACGCGCCGGACACCACAGGCATCCTGGCAAGGGCTGAGGGTTTGGCCAAACGAGGAAACCTGGCGAAATCGCTCCAATCCCTAACAGCCACGCCAGTCTCCCCCCCATCCACGGACGTGCTCCAAGCCCTCTCAGCTAGACACCCTCATGCGCGCCAAGCCGTCCCTGACTGGGTACCGGAGTTCACCACTGACTCAACCCCTACAATCCATCCACGCGACTTCAGGCGCATCCTCGCCAAGTGCCCGAATGGAGTGGGCGCTGGCCCCTCAGGCACCACCTTTGAACACCTGAGGGACGCTGCCTTAGGAAACACAGACATTTTCCTACAGTTGCACGCACTTACGAACACTGCGCTGGCCGGTAAACTTAGCTCTGAAGCGGCAGAACTTCTCACAGCATCACGGCTGCTCGCATTCGCCAAGCCACATGGGGGTACACGGCCGATTGCGGTGGGCGAGTGCCTGCTACGGCTTGTCGCCAAAGCGGCATTATTCCTGGCGGCCGAGAAGGCACGTGAACACTTCGCTCCGCTCCAATTCGGCGTGGCGATAGCTGGCGGCATTGAAGCAGCAGTGCATACCGCCAGAACGTACCTGGAGGAGAATACAGGGGCTGTGGCGCTGCAGATTGACCTAGCGAACGCCTTTAACGCGGTCGAGCGAGCGGCGGTGTTCGATGGCCTGAAAGGGACCAGCCTGGAATTCTTAGTGCCCCTGGTCCGGCTTACCTACGGCGTCCCCTCGGCGCTGCACCTCGACCACGAGTTTCACGCTCCCCCCCTGCAGTCCGCGCGCGGCGTACGTCAAGGGGACCCGCTGGGCCCGCTTCTCTTCGCCGCTAGCATACACCCTTGCCTGGTAGCTGCGGCGGAAGCACATCCGGGAGTCGTCTTTCTCGCGTACGCTGACGACATTACTCTCCTGGGGGAAGCTGAGGCGTGCACGGAGGCTTTCACTCACCTCACCACCGCCCTGCTATCCCTCGGCCTGGAACACAACCCCGAGAAGTGCGCGGCGTGGTCAGCCGCGCACACTGACCCCGCCTCCCTCCCTGCGCACGTACCTTTCTCGGCGGATGGGATCCGCGTCTTGGGGAGCCCAATCGGGCCGCAGGCAGGATGCGCGGCCTTGGTGCAGGAGCGCCTGTCGGCAGCAGCAGAGCCACTTCCGCTCCTCTCACAAATGGATCCGCAGCTGAGCCTGCTCCTCCTGACACGCTGCGTGAGCCGCCGCGCCTCGTACCTGGTTAGGACAACGCCCCTGGAGGTGCTGCCAGCAGACACTTGGTCGGCGTGGGGGGAGCAGCTGCTGCACACGTACCTGACCGCGGCGCACACGGCGATACCGCGGGATGAGGCGGAGCGGGGGAGAATCTGGCGGCAGGCCGCGTTACCCGTGACACTGGGCGGCCTCGGCATCACCAATCCAGCAACGGAAGGGGTGTTCGCTTACCTAGCCTCGGTCATCTCCTCCGCCCACCTGCTGCGCTCGTTCGGTGACATTTTGCACCCCGCAATAGACCAGCTGCTGCCGCTACTGGATGCAAACGCCGACTCACCCTCGGTCCTGCCTCGGCGCCTTGCAGCGGCAGAGGCCACGCTGCCCCCGGATGGGCTGGAGGCTCTACAGGCCGGCCGGCGCGGTACAGATGGCCTGAAGCTACAGCAGGCCTTGTCGCTGGCCGTTCACACCGCTCGCTACATCGAGGTGCTCGATGCCTCGCGGGAGATGCCTCTGAACCCGCTCTTCGGCCACA